GAATGGTAAAGTAAATGCAGGAAAACATATTTTGAAAGAATGTAGGAAAATTATGCAGAAAGCAAAAGCAGATTTGAGTCTTTTGATAACATACTTACCATGTGATGGTGCATCTGAAGTTAGGAAACAGACTGACAACTGAAAGCGGTCCCAATTTTTCGCAATTCTCGCAGCTGACGAGCTATGTCTTGAACAAACCGTAGGCCTTCATTTCCATTTTGAAGAGAGTAAAGCATGTGCTCAAGAAAATCATGATCAGTCTCGAGTGCCTCCAACCTATCATTAAGGTCTGAGATTTCATTTTCCAGAACAACCAACTCGGTTTCTCTATGATCCATAAAATCCTTTTGCCCATGGAAATCAGAATCATTTTTTTCTTCATGGTCTAAACTTTCAGAATGAGCCGGCCCCTCTTGAGCAGCAGAGCTTCTGTTAGATACATGTAAATCTTTTTGTCCATGCACAACATTCTCTTCAACCTGGCCATTTAATAGAACCCTCTCTTTTCTAGGAGTCTCTTCTTGAATTGGTTCATCATCCATATACTTTCTAGTCTGCCCACCATTAGGCATGTTGGAGGGAACCCCATTACAGGAAATTTCAGAAAGTTTCCTCTCCAAGCTCTTCAAACAATTTGAAATGTATAATTTTTCATCCTCAAAGTCCAAAAGCGTAGTTTCAGAAAAAAGATGATCATTACTAGCTTTGGGTACCTCAGTATCCATTGAGTTACAAGCAACTTCGACATCCTTTTCTGTGCCGGGCACAACAGTACTTGAGTTGCAAGTAATTTCGACATCATTCTTCATGATGGGCACATCAGTACTCTCAGTGGTGTCAATTCCACCCTTGTAATCAGAGCTTTTGAGCGGCATATTCTCCATTGTTTCATCTGGAACATCAAACTTTGAAAATTCTAGCTCTGCTTCCAAGTCCTGTATCTCTTTCTCCTTTTCAGCCAGGAGATCATTGGCTTTTTCCAGTGCGTCTACATCAAACTCAGCCTGCTCTTCCATCATTCTTAAGTACTGAAGGGCCTCCATATGAATTGCAGCTTTCTCTTCTTGCAGCTTCGTGATCATGGCCATTGCCTGATTTGCAGCAATTGTGGAAGCACTCCTTTCTTCCTCTAATTCCTTATACAACTCCTTTATGCATTTTCTGTAATATTCAACCTGTCGTTTTAACCGATCATCTAGACTTTCACCTTCAATTTCACTGACATAGCCTTCATCCAGAGATTCAAGAGCAGATTCTACTGATGCTGATGTATGAAGCAGTGGCTTTGGATTAGATTTGGAAGCATCAGTTACCTGCTTTTCATCAGCACAACCTTTTACCCCAGACATTGTATTATTTGATGATAAATTACCCTCCTGAGCAGAAGAATTTTGTGAAGCCAACGGTTTCAGTTCCCCATCAACTCTATCAGGTTCCTTCAATGTAGGTTCTTTAACAATACCAGACGAATCTGCTTCTTTACCAGTGGCTGCTGACTCAGACACAACATTTACACTAACATGATTTGGCTTTACAAGAGCTGGATCATCTGTGATAGGATCAGTTTTAGCAGATGCTCCATCTCTTGCACTTATAGACTTCAAAAGTTCGTCGTTCTTATTGGTGGATGCATGTCCAAAGTCGCTTGTCCCAGTAACATCTGCTAAAAATTTCAAAAAAAAAAAGGAGCAATGTAATATTTATCAATGGCATGCAAGAGAGAGAGAGAGAGAGAGAGAGAGAGATAATTTAGACATCTCTGATGATTCCCCAACTAACGAGTGTCATCTAGAGTAATAAGTTCATAACTCAAGTGAATTGGAATCCTAAGAAGAGAGCATACTTTTTTCAACAACATTAGATGATGGAGGGACATCATCTGGTGAAATAAGCTCAGCTAATGCAGAAGGATTGGACGTCCAACTCACTTGCTGCCAGTTAGGCTCATCGAAGCCATTCTCAACAGCAACATTGACACCCAAGACCTTTACCTTAGACGCCTTGCTACCATCTGGCTGCACACATGGATCAGAAGGTGAAGGTTTGTGTTTGTAGGAAAAGTTGCTCTGCTTTGCTGGATTCAAACCTTCCACTGGTGCTTTGAATGAATTTTCTGAAGCACATTGAACTACAAATCCTTCCCTCTTAGGATCATGAATTCCACTGATGAAACTGCTACCATCGTCGTCATCAGAAAATGGAAACTCAGAGTCAGTATCAGAACTAATCTTCAACTCAGTGTATCCTACATGTGACAAGGGATCCCAGCCAATTTTTCCAGGACAACGGGCAGAGTCAGTATTAGAACAAACCCTCAACTCGGTGTATCCTCCAACATGTGACATGGGATCCCAGCCAACTCTTCCAGGACCACGAACAGTTACTGAGGCAGGAAATTTATCCCTCATCTTCTTTGAACCATCCCGACGAGGTAAACGGCTACGGGTTGAAAAACGTGGCAAAGGAATATTAGGTTTGGGACTAGGTGATTTCCGTCGCAGTCCTTGAGCATTTTCTCTAGGTCTCCGATGCCTACTGCAATAAGAGCATGGACTTGCACCCACAGAACTGCGAACAAAATTTCTGTTCTGGTTGGACCTCTTAGAACCGGAACTTCCAAGATCCAATCCTGACTTACCGTCCAAAAGAATGTGCGTTTCTGGGTTGGAATCTTCACACGTTTCATTTCCATCATGCTTACCATAAACTTGACAAGCTATCCAAGACGAGAGCTCTGATATGTGGTTGCTGCAAAGTAGATCCTGATAAAGTTGAGGTTTTTCGTTGCCTATAACATGTTCGAACCTCGAGCAAAAGATGCAAGGCTTTTGCAAATTGCAATAGTTTGCAAATTTAGTCAGCAGATAGGATAATAGTCCATCGACAAGCAGGAGAAACATAAAAAACCATTCACATGCTGCAGATGTTAGAACGGCTACAAACCCCTCTAAGTTCTTCTGCACTTGTACAGAAGAATTTTCCTTTGCTGCCATCTGGCTAACAATTGCTCTAGAATCTCATGACCTTCCAGTTAGGAAAACTCAAGGAAATCACCGGTTGATCAAGATAATAGATGCTCCTCCCCTCCCAAATCAAAGTTAAGCATCCCATCTTCCACCGGCCGAAGCAAGAAACAAGGAATCAATTAGGAACATCAAAACCACAGCATTGCAGTTAAGCTACAAACAACAAAAAAATGAATTAAAAACAATAATTTTTTTATTTATTTAAAATTTCAATGCAGACCATATGTAATTGTGCATCACCAACCATGATAGAAGCTACTAACAGCAAGTCCCAGAACAAAACCACCCATCAAACTCTCACCATCCCAACTGTGCGATATAATGACAAATCAACTAACAACGATAAACTTAAATAGAAACCAGAGGAAACTCACCTAACCTAATCAATGTGATTAAACTAATCAATGTGATATACCAAACCCAGATTCAGTTCAAGAAAACCTATTTTGTGTGATTCAAAAACAAAGCAAGAAACTTTCAGCAAATTCTAATTGTAATTTCTCCGCATAATTGTCTAAAATGAAGGAATGAACAAAACAACCCACACACAGATATGATCATCAAAAGGGTACCATCCAACACAATGCACATTGCGATTTCAGAAAACAAATTAAACCAAATAGTCTGATCCTAAACAGAATGAAATTTTACATATTTTATACATTTCGAGGAAAAAGGAGGGCAGAAAAAAAAAAGAAAAAAGAAAAAAGAAAAAAGCGGCTTACCTGATATGGAAGCTTGACGGAGGATCAAAAGGTGAAAGAGGAAGAAATGCAAATATGGATTAAAAGCATAATGAAAAGAAATCTGTAAAAAGAAAATTGAAAAAACAAAAGGAAGAAGTAGGCGGAATTACGAGCAGGTCCTTAGCGGGGGAAAGTGACTGACCGTTGAAACCAACCGTCTGAGATTTGTTTGGATGCCAATAAAAGCGAAGCTCCAAGGTCAGCTGGTTTTATGTATTGTGAGTTGCGCACGAAATAACACGTAATAAAAATCATGAAATGTGGCCACCCATCCTATTTTGTTGATGATAGATAAGATAGTCATTAAGTTATGTATTATTGGATACATTTTGAAAAACATATATGATGAAAAAAATCCAAACTATGTATTTGAAGTGCATCCGTACGTACGTGAAAATATATATGAATGAAACAAGCGAATGATATATGTATTATCCTTCAAAATACATGCTCAATGTGTAGAACATATAAATAATGCATTCACTTTACCTATATTATACAATAAGTTTACTCAAATGTCATATTTAATGATCGAGATCATATTGAAATGTGAAATAAAATTGAATTGCATTTGATTATATTGAATTGCAGAAAATAACACTAATACGTTAATGTGTTTGATACGGTACATGATAGGATTATGATCATATCCAACTCATTGCTCTTCTAACAGATATTGCTGGTAAGATGGTTGGGGGCACGAATGGGTGATTATGATCACATCCAACTCATTGCTCTTCTAGCCGATATTGCTTGTAAGATGGTTGGGGGCACGAATGGGTTCACCTGTCAAATCGATCATGTTGACAGCTGCTCTCCTAAATCCAACGTGGACTATTTCTTTTCTTTATCAAAAATAGGAACTAGCCTCTAAAAACCTTTTTCACATCACGTGCCAACATATCTTTTGACACATGCATTAAAGGCCCAATATCACCCAATGAGGCCTGAAGGATCAAAGCACAAACTATATGGGCAAAACTTTAAACTGAAATTTGGAAGGGGCCGCGCGAACGCAGGCCCCCACTGCCACAAATTATGACGTTGGCTCTCCCACGTTGGGGAGACCATAGGCGGGCACCCCTCCTAAGTGCAATGGAGGTCACCAACCCAGGCCATGGGCTTTCTTGATCACCCATAGACCCCGTCCAGGTAAGTATGGAACAATTGTCCTCCTAGACCCTTTTTATAATCTCTCTTCGCTCGCACTCTGCTTCACTCTGTCGATGTGGGATATAACAACAACAACCGACTAAAACTCTAAAACCCAAAAAAGAACAGAAGAACACTCTCACGGTGACAAGAGTCGTGGAAAAGATGAAGGAGCTACTGAGGTCGTTCACTGTGAGTTTTTGTGCTTCTGGGTATGTCCAAAGTTGTTTGCTTTTCGTTTGGAGTTTGTGAAATGAGCTGATTATGTTGTGTGCACAGAGGCTTGGAGGTGTTAGGGGTTATAGCGCGGGGAGGAAGGACCTTCGGATTAAGGGGGTTAAGCATACCATAGCCGTTGCTTCTGGTAAAGGGGGTGTGGGCAAGTCCACCACTGCAGGTATGTCTTTTGGCTTTTGGCAACATGGCTTTCGTCTACATGTTATGCTGAAAGGGATGAGCTTTGTTGAGTTTTTGGGTGTTTTAGCTTTGTGGGTCATGCTAAATTTGTCTAAATATGGATCTTTTCGGTAATTACATTGGTCTTGACAAGAGTAGTTTTCTGGGATTTTGGGTGAGCTGATGACTGCTAAGTTAAAGAACCAAGTTTTCTTTGTTGATTTTTCAGCTCTTTGGCTTATTTTTTCGATTGAAAAAGGAAGAATCTTTGCCTTATTGGGTGCTGGAGTTGTGAGGTAGCTCTAAGTACTTTACCGATTTGAGATGGTCGATATAGACATGATAATTTTGTATTCACCTTCTCTCTGATTTCACATTTTAACATATTAACGCTTCCATAGCGGTGCTTATTTTCTGGTTTTGTTGATTTAGAATAACTTAGCATAGTGGTTGGAATTGCAGTTAATCTGGCTGTTGCACTTGCTAACAAGTGTCAAATGAAGGTTGGCTTGCTTGATGCTGATGTATATGGACCAAATGTTCCAATCATGATGAAGCTCGACAAAATGCCAGAAGTGAATGAAGGTATTTATTTACTTATTTCTCACTTAAGAGATGTAACCTGGCAACTAAACTTTCCAATCAGTTTTAGCTCAAGTGTCTCAAAAACAAAACTTGATGTATCAGTCTTTGCAATTTCACAATTTAAGAGATTGTTAACTCCTCCTTTTGTTAAACCAGCCATTATAATGCGAATTGAATTCAGTTTTTCGTATTTGCTAATCAAACATGATTTAAGGAATAAGCTTCTATGTGTCATTTCATCGTCAAGTCCACTTGTGGGCTGTGCAGAATACAAGTCCTCTAATCAAGTATCACTCTGCATCACAACATGGACACATTAAATCTGATGTTATCTTTATTGTGAAGCAAACATCTAGTAAGGACTTAAAACTGAGACATACAAAACCACTAGACATATACATTTCTTAGCTTTTATCCTACTATGTATCGATTATATAGTTCATACTAGAGAATATTAACATTATGGTCTTCTTCTACCAGATAAAAAAATGGTTCCAATTGAGAGCTATGGAGTCAAGTGTATGTCGATGGGACTTCTTGTGGCCAAGGATGCCTCACTTGTTTGGAGAGGTCCTATGGTATAACTTTTAAGTCTTTTCTTGCTTAAGGTTCTATTTAACTTGAGGTTCCCTCTCGTAAATTGATTGTCGATGCTAAGAATTAGTGCCAGTGTGCAGACTATATTATTATTTAGACACAGTTTAAGAGATTTTGTTTCCAACCCCTTGATGTAATTGTACTCAGAATCATGAGAGAATGTAAACTAATTAATTCAAGTGAGGTTCCGTTTGAAATGTAACCAAGTTGATTTTTTTTTATTTTTTTTTGGGTGGTCAAACCCTTATATGATACAAAGATAAAGAAAGTGTTTCCATTCCTTGTTTCTCACAAGGATTTAATTTAATTATTGCAGGTATCAAGTGCTCTTGAACAAATGACAAGGGGGGTTGACTGGGGAAATCTTGATGTTCTTGTGGTAGATATGCCCCCTGGGACTGGTGATGCTCATATTACTGTATCCCAAAGGCTGCAGTTGTCAGGTACTTGAAAAACTTAAGCTCAAAATGCTTTTGTAGCTATGTTTAAATATCCCTCATATTCTGGCCGCCATCTTATGGTTCTTCAAGGATCCTTTTATGCATTATGTTAGATATCAAGGAAAATCAATTCTGGCTTCTGTAGATTTCGTATAAAAAGGAATTTATAAATAAAGTATAGTGATTGTGTATTTGTGAGCACCAAAATTTTCATGTTTCTGAAGACATGCACTAGTGCTCATAACAAACACCCCCTCTCCCCTCCCCTCTCTTCTTACCCCTCACTTGTTCCAGAACATCCAAGTAACAAACCATTTTTACCTTTCCAAAATTAGTTTTGGTTTTGCAACTTTCATTTGGTTTTTAACAATTGTTGGTTTGTTAATAGGTGCATTAATTGTTTCAACACCTCAAGATGTTGCATTAATGGATGCTCGGAGAGGAATTAACATGTTCTCTAAAGTCGAAGTTCCTGTATGATTACTCTTCAGATCATATTTTGATGTGTCTTCATTTATCATTGAAAGTTTGTGGAGATCATCAATGGAATAATTTTTACCATAGTCAAATTCTGATTGCTGTTGTAGATTTTGGGAATTGTAGAGAACATGAGCTGTTTTAAGTGTCCAAACTGTGCTGAACGCTGGTTCATTTTTGGGGAAGGAGGGTCTCGTAAGATGGCAGCTGAGATGGGTGTGAATTTTGCTGGCGAGGTATGCTAATTAGTTTCATCTGTTTCATGACTGGTTACTGTTATAACTTTCTGTGCAACCCTTTAAGGTTGATTCAATTGGTATCAACTCCAATTGGGTCTGGATGCTTCTCTTTCTCTCCTTCCCTCTGTCTCTGTCAATTTTCTGTTTCAGGGAGAGGCAGTTACTTAATTTAGAGTACAAAGGGGGAGAATTTTAGGATCTTAATACCGAGCCTATTGTGACTCTTCTATTGTGACGTTCTAAAATCTCTTTTCAACTCATTATGTTTTGCTGCTAACCAGATTCTGTTTTTGCATGTTTGCCATGAATGTCAGCTGCAAAATATGTGTACCTCATGTTAGTTCAATGTACACATATTTGATAAAACTTCAAATTGTAATTTGAGTGCCATGCTGTGTCAGGCACACAACACTTGAAGGGCTTCTTCAGAAGTTCTTTGCTGAGTAGTGAAGTAAATCGAAAGAAGCTTTATGACCTTATGTGTTTTCATTTTTTCTTGTCGATCCCATATCTATAAAGAGCAACACATTTTGATTTTCATAACCGGATTTTCGTCAGTTTGGCCATCCCCAAGTAGCTGAGTTTAATTCCCTTCTGAGATGAGTAGCAACTATGGTCATCAATCTTTTTAATCAAGCTGCGTAATGTTTCAGATACCATTAGAAGTGGGGATAAGACAAGGCTCTGACGACGGTGTCCCAATAGTAATATCGGCACCTGATTCTGATGTCTCCAAAGCATATGTTGATATGGCTCAGAAAGTTGTTGACAGACTTGAGGAATTGTCAAAGGAAGAACAATCTCGTCCACAGTTTAACCTTTGATTTTGTGCTGTCCACTTTAGCAGCTGAATGAAACCTTTTGCTACACATTCAGCAGAGCAGAAGTGGCAGATTCACTTGTGCATGCGTGCTTTTTGTAATTTTTCCTTAACATTATTAGAGCTGTCTTGACCTGCGAGTTAAGTAGGGAAAATGCCAAGTCCTTGGGGGTTTAGCCCTAGCGGTGAAGGGAGGGTGGACTTGGTTAAGGAAATTTGTCTCGTGCTGCAAGTGACTTGTAGCTCAATTGATTTAAAGTAGTAACTCTCCTACTCGAGATCTTATGTTCAAATTCATGACCTCCAATATCGCTTGTATCAACAATCATGGTCATGTTTGCAGTAGGTGCACCTCGAGACCCTAATTGAAGTGTTTGTAGTAGGTACACTTCCCAAGAAGTCCTTAAGATGCTGGATATTTTGAGGGTTAGAACCAATTTGCATGTATTCTTCTTTTAGCTTTGCAAACTTGCGTTTCCAGCCAATCTTTGTCATGATGATGACAGAATATGGTTCATATTCCCAACCCACCTGAATAGGGAAGCTTTAGAACATGCATATAATAGTGGACCTATCTTTTAAATTACTTGGAAATGAATTCAGACTTTTTACCTGTGAAAATGACATAAATATGTTGTTTTGTTCCCTTTGTACGCGCCAGGTTGCTTCAAGTTTTCAGTGATTAAAATGGAAAAGAAACACAAATGCCCAATATGGAATTTAAATTAAATTAAGAACACAGGCTTTGCAACACGATTTTTTTCCTCACATAACAAGATAAATGAATAAATAAATAAGCTAATAGCTCCATAATTCAAAAGGCGGGAGGAAAAAAAAAGGATAACAAGCTGTTGGGGGATCATACTACGGGAAGTTGCAGCCTCAGCCACTGGAACCAATCTTTTCCATTCTTCCGCCATTTCCAGCGTCATTTGGTTTTTCATTTTGTTGCCCATTTCTCTCTCTCTCTCTCTCTCTCTCTCTCGCTGTCTGAATGCATCGGTGCACCATAACCCTGAAATCCCCAATTCCATACCATGCATCCTCCTCCCACCCAATTTTCCCCCACAACCCTAGGCTAACCCAATCCCAATCCTACCCCATTTTGGCTCCAATCTGTACTCGCGCCCATTCCGTCTTCAACAGCACCAGAGGGCTTGACATCTCCGCGCCCAAACACACCTCGAACTCCAACTCCAACGCCATTAACCACTCTTGGCAATCTCTGCGTCGATATCGTCCTCAATGTTCCCAAATTGCCCCCGCCCGATGTCCACGACCGCAAAGCTTACATGGACCGCTTATCTGCCTCGCCGCCCGATAAGGTTTGCTTCTCGCTCAGCTTCTGACTGTGTGCGTAAAAAGTCTTGTTCTTTTTTGTTGGGTAATCTTTGTATTTCTTTCACTGTACCATTGAAATTAACCCATTTGAGTTTTTTCCTTTTGATTTCAATAAGTAGGAAATTTTGTTTATTTATTTATTTTTAGAACTGAAGTAAAAGAACTGAATTTGTTAGGTGGTATTTTCTTTTAACTCTGGCGAAATTTGGAATCTTTTATTTGTTGGGATTGTTTGATTACAGCTTGCTTTGTGCTCAAGCTATAACTTTAGACTTCGTATAATGGTTACTGCTATTGGTTTGTCTCAAAAGTATGTTTTGGCGTCATGTAGTGTAAATAACATTGATAATTTATACACGTCTGCTGATAAATTCTTCCAACGTTGATTATATGCTTCTACATTTAGCAATACTGGGAAGCTGGTGGAAACTGCAATATGGCTATAGCAGCTGCGAGACTGGGACTTCATTGTATTGCAATTGGCCATGTGGGTAACGAAGTATATGGGCAGTTCCTTGTAGATGTTCTTCATGACGAAGGAATTGGTATGGTTGGCATGTGTGAAAATACCAACGTTGAGAGTGCAAGTGCTTCTTATGAAACACTCTTATGCTGGGTTCTAGTGGATTCATTGCAAAGACATGGTTTTTGCAGGTAAATTCTTCCACCTTTTTCTTTTCTTTTAGTCATGGGCCTTCAGAAGATGCTTTCTGATTGCTGTCCTTCAGCAAGTTGGCATATGATTGGCAATCTGAATCAACCTGTTTTGTTCATCAGTCGGGCTGATTTCAGTAAGGATCCTGCATTCAGTTGGATGAGCAAGTTATCTGAGCAAGTCAAGACAGCTATAAAACAGTCAAAGATTCTATTCTGTAATGGTTATGGCTTTGATGAACTCCCTCCTGGTGTAATAGTCTCAGCTGTAGAGTATGCCGTTGAAGTTGGAACAGCACTTTTTTTCGACCCTGGACCGCGCGGAAAGAGCCTTTCTGCTGGTACACCTGAAGAACGAGGAGCACTTAGCCAGTTGTTGAGGATGAGTGATGTTCTTCTTCTAACTTCTGATGAGGTTTGACATTTGCTGATGGAAATTATTCTCTATGATAATCCATTCTACTAGTGAAAAAGCATTTAAAATTCTACCTTAAATTGTACTGTAAAATTTTTCTTCGTATTGTTGTTCTGCTAATCCGTTATACTGATATTAATGATTTCCAGGCTGAGTCATTGACTGGCATTGAAAACCCAATATCAGCAGGGCAGGAATTGCTCAAGCAAGGGGTGCACACAAAATGGGTGATTGTCAAAATGGGTCCAAGGGGATCAATTCTAATAACTAGGTCAAGTATCTCTTGCGCACCAGCTTTCAAGGTATTAGTTTCTAACTTGACATTTCTCACATGATCTTGCAGTCAACTTTTTAACTTTCCTGTTTTATGACACAGTACTGATACCCATAGCCCCTTCGAGGACGTCCGATGAAATGGGAACAATATTAATTCACATAATTTATGAACTCTTCTTAGACTTATGTGTCTAAATCTGACTCTGTACCAAATTTTATTCGTATTGCTTGCTATTGTACCATCATGGAAGCCCTTCAAATCGAAATCATGTTTTTCATATTCTAACAAAAGTGATGTACATGCTCTGAATATGCCTGTTTGGTGTGTGTATGTGTATGTAGACCATATCTCTTGGCCAAAAGTAATTTATACATCCAGGAAGTACATTTATTTTCTGTTGCTCCAGCCTGTCTGAATTCAAATCCAGCTCTTTTTATTAGCTGATGCAACAATGAAAGTTTAGTTTTTATCCTGAATTGTGACAGGTAAATGTCATAGACACTGTTGGATGCGGAGATAGTTTTGTAGCTGCTATTGCATATGGTTTCATCCACAATATGCCAGCAGTTAATACACTAGCAATTGCAAATGCAGTGGGTGGTGCAACTGCCATGGGTTGTGGTGCTGGTAGGAATGTGGCAACCTTGGAGAAAGTAATAGAACTTATGAAGGCATCAAATCTCAATGAGGATGACGAATTTTTGGATGAATTACTCGATGAAAATTTAGATGTCCAGGCAATTAAGTCTCTCTCAAAATTGGTCATAAACGGAAGTGAAAACCAGCCAAATTGTGTATCCTTGCAGAAGGTGGTGTCAGAATTGCTTCCTAAGCTCAAATTGACACAGTTACAGAAAAAAGTGCCATGCTGACATATTATAACAGCAGTAGGTTTTAGCAATTAATTCTGTTCTGTTGGAGCCATCTCATTCTCTGGATTTGTTTAGACCTTTGCAGTTCTACTAACACAAAACGAGGCCCGGGTTAAGTTAACTGTAACTATAATGGCTTCGTTGCAAATGGGTTCAGAATGAAATACTTTCCGGGGAAAACATCAGTTGAGCAGGCATTAAAACTTTGCTTTCCAGGTCTCTTTCTGCAAGCAGATTTTTTACCCTCCTGCGCGCAAGATGCTCGATTCTTTGCACCTTTTCAATACATTGCTTATTGAGCAGGTGAGGTGCCTTTGTTATCCTTTTCGTTTGCATGGATGTGGGGAGGTGATTTTTTTACCTGATATGATATGTCGTGTAAAAGAATAGCAAAGGATCTTATATGTACTGAATTTGTAATTTTATTTTTGAAAATGCAAAAATCATAGATTTTATTCATTGGACATTCGCAGCAGCCATGCATGCATATTTTTATTTTTGAAGTTTGGGGAAAAAGAAGAAGAAGAAAGAGATAAACAGATTGATGAGATATCAAAGAGCTATTTTTATGCCAACTGGTCCAGTGGAAAAGGGTCTTGACTTACAGACCAGATGTCTCAAGTTCGGATTGAAGTTGTCCTCTATAGTAGTTTAGACTATCGTTTCCTCTCTAGTAGTTTAGCCTATCGTTTGTATTAAAAAAGAGTTAAGAGTAATATTATTATTTTGAATTGAATACCAAAACAGTCCCTGTGTTTTTACCTTATTCGCCAATTCGGTCATTGTAGCCAGTCATTAGCGAATTTAGTTCTTCTGTCTATATCCGTGAGTCAATGTAATCATGTTCATCCTGTTTTCCCATTGAAAAACTGACTGCAAAATCCAATTGGTTACAAATTACAATAATAAAGGGATCAATAATAGAAAAGTAAGATTAACAAAAATGCTGTTAAATGAACCTTAAAACTAGTTGAGATTACATCCTAATATTTAAATTAAAATGTAAAATTAACTAAGTACATCCTATTTAACTACCAAAAATACCTATAGTATTTAATATAAAAAAATCATGAATAACACCAGCATATGGAAAACTTCTTCCTTTCTTTTGATTTTCTGAATATGGAAAACCAGAGGATATATCATCTTGCAGACAGCCCCAAACCCTTTTATTTTAAACTCTTTTTAAATAAATAAATCAACTCCCTTACTACCTCCTAGCTCCTCCGCAAGTGTATTGCCTTCAACCTAAGACTCTCTCACAGGGACTGTCCCAACCTTGGTTTCTTTGTTTAACATTTCCCTTTTCAAGCATTTCTCCCGATTCTCGTACCTAAAATCCAAAACAGTCTTTCACCTTAGCTTCCCTCCATAAAGACTTCACCCTGGTCAGTGTCACCCCTAATACTAAGGTTTTTGGAAGTGAGATTTTTCGCTTATGTTTAATTTGGGTTGAATATGGTAGGGTGTACTTATTAAACTCACATTTGTTTCACAATTTAATATATCATTTTTGTTCCTTTTATATTAGGGTAAATTAGTAATTCAATAAATAGTTTGATAGTAGAGTCTACTCATTCAATTTTAGGGTTTGTTTAATAGCACCCTTTAAAAAAAAAAAAAAATTTGACAACGGGGTCTATCAATTCCACAATTAATTCTATAATCATGACCAAAAAAATAATTTAATTATATAATTAGTGTTTGATGCTACACTTACCACATAATGAATGACGTGTATTTTAATAAATAAAATTAGAAAAACAGAAACTAGAAATTTACATGATGTGGTATGTACACATCAGTTGCCATATCATATAGTATAAAAATGTGGTAAGACTAGTATTATTCTTTATTTTAT